ATAAAGATGTTAAAAAATAAAATAAAATGAAAAAAGAAGTAATCAGAATGTGACTTGAAGGGTTTACAAAGTGAACCCTAAAAAACCACCACACAGAGCTGTTTCACGCAGCCCAGAGGGGATCTCTGGGTGATTCTGGACACTGGCGCACCTCACTGAGGGGCCCCCATCCGGACAACAAAGCGAGAAAAGCCTGACTTTATCCCACAGCCAGGGAAACACGAAGACGCCTTCACGCAATCGGACCCGCAGCTCCTCGGGTGGGCGCTAAGGCAAAGTCTCCTGAGAGGTCAAAATGCATTATCAGTTCTCCGGAGGCTAAATCCCAATGCAATCACTGTAACAATTCCTCCACCCTACAGCCGGAGATAAAGTTTCAGCCATCCCTAAAATGTGCAGAGATTACTTATTTCTGAGTAAGAGAACAGGAGAGGTCTGGGCTAAACCAGAGGAAACTGGTCTAGGTGGCTTAAGGTCCAGCGTCCCGGTTAAGCGAGTGGCAGGGCGTGTTTCCAATGAAGAAAACAGCTCCCTTGCGCGCTGTGCGCGCAGCTCCAACCCGGCAGGAGAAGTTAAAGGCTCCACGGCCCCACGCAGCATTCAAGGCCATCTATTAAAAGGAAGATTCAAAAGACAAAGGTTGGTAAACAGAGGGAACTATCATTTTTGACAGCCGCACAAAGACTTTCTGGCAGAGTTTCCTGTCACTGGAAAATGATTGCTAAGGAATCGTCTCCTGATTAAATACGCTCAGACAATTGGTCGTGCACATCACCAGCTGAAACTGGAGCAGAAAGCCAGGAGCCGGCTGTGCACTAACGGCAGCGCGGCTACCTGGAGTCTTTAAATTCTGATTTCAAAACTGCTCCCCAAAGCTTGACTCTGCAAGGGAGAGCGCCTTATGTTATGATTCAATGGGTTAATCCATGTAAAGCGCTGAGAGCAGCACCTGGCACTAAACAAGAACTCAATAAAGATAAACTATCTTTGTTAGTAATATTCATTCATGCCTTTCCACTCAGAAATTACTGTACTGCTGTTTATGCTTACTTTTCTCTCTCCTTATGCATTATGAGCTCCAAAGTGTCATATTTATATCATGCATCTCAGAGCCTGGGACTGTGCTGGGCTCAATAAAAGTTTGTGATTTGAATTGAATGATACTCACTTGCATTACCTTGCAGAAGTGATACAACTGAAAAGAGTGGGGAAATCAAAGACAAATGAAATCTGAGCCTCCTTTACCTCCTCATTCTGTTTCCTCATAACACCCCTCATTTATGGGGCTGTTCGTTACATCTTCCCTGCTGGACACTGGTTCCAGCTGAGCCTCAGTGGAACCAGTAACACGGTTTGCCAGGCACAGTTCAAGCTCAACCAATTTTGATGTCACCTGCCCCCCCCCCCCCCCCCGAGACTAAACATGGTAGAGGATGTGCAGACAGGCACAAGCCCAAGCCCTGGGAGATTTATTTGAAAGCTCCACTACTGCCTCCTTCAGGTGCCTCTTGACATACACCGAACCAGTAACTATAACAGCAAAAACAAGAGCAACCAACATTTGCTGAGCACCTATTATTCACCATGCTAAACACTTTCATATATTACCACATTTAACCCAAGCAATAAACAAAGTGTATATTCTGTTATTTTCATTCTATCAGGTGAAAAAACTAAGGCACAGAAAAGTCACAATGAGCCACTTGTTTAAGGTCACAACACCAGTAAAATGGTGACATTCAAACCCAAGTTCCTGACTCTCCAAACGCATTCAGGTAACCACTCAAGCCTACAGTGACCTCTGGCCACACAGTCCAGCTCTGAAGCGCAAAGCACCACAGAACTGTTTCTCTGCAGGGCAGTGCATGTGCCTCCCACGCACCTGTCTTTCTTTTCCCCACAGCATAGCATGGCAGCCCAGCTTATCTCATTTTCGACAAAAGACCCCAAAGATTTCCTTTTTCACCTGCCCCTGGTTACTGCCCCATTTAGAACGTGCCTTAAAACATGACCGCCTCTGGTTTCTAACTTACGCCTAAGGGACCTGCTCCCATTTTCTTTCCTGGTGGAACAAAGGCATTGAAGCCACAAGTCACAGAGGCAAAAAGCATTTATTGATTGGATTCCCATCAATATTCGCCCTCTGCCCAGGATTAGACTTGGCCTCATGCCTTCTTTGCTTTGCTCCTCCTACTCTAATGTATAACTAGTCTCAGGAAGCTGGAGGAGGACAGTCAGGGACTGGCCACTGTATCTGCCACACTCACTACAGGACCGGGAATTAAGGGGAGGACTCCAACCCACAAAATGACAGAAGATAAGGTACAGTCGTATTATGTCCATTTGCGGACATGAATAGGGAAATCTGTTGAAGTCAGTGAGCATGTTGAGGATTTGGGGGATGTTGGGTGTAGCTGTCACAGATCAAAGCTACTTCTCTTGGCCGATTGATAGTTTGGCTGCTAAAAAAATCATATTTTTTATTCAGTAATTGGGACTTAGGGATATTTGCTCTTTTCTGACTAGTCTGTGTAATGTTTTCTCGAGTGGTACTACATAACCATATTATGGAAGGAATGTGCAAAAAAAAGGCATATTCACCCAAATCTAACTAATCGTGAAACTAATCTGAAATCTTCAAAAATATCAATATTCAAAAAACAAGGGGTAGAAGGCCTGTTTTAGATTAAAGGAGACTAAGAAGAACTGATGACCCAATGCAACAAGTGATCTTAGATGGTGGAAGGAAGAAGAAAACAGCTCTAAGGGACAATATGGGGATAGTGAGAAATTTTGAAAATGGTATATTAGATAATGTTTTATAACTATTACGTTCTTGGATATGATAATGGTATTGTAATTATGTAGAAGAATGTCTATGTGCTTAGTGAGTACATGCTGAAGTATTTAGGAGTGAAGTGACACAAGTATCTGCTACTTATTTTCAAATGATTCAGTCAAAACCACACACACACACACACACACACACACACACGGAGAGTTAAACAAATGTGGTAAAGGTTAACCATTGGTGAACATAGGTGAAGGTTATGGAGTGTTCACTGCACTACTCTTTCAACTTCTCTGTAGATATACTTTTCAAAATAAAAACTTGAAAATAAAAAGGGTATAGTGCTGTTGCTGTCTTCTAAGTATCCCCCAACCAAATGCACCCACCTCTGCACACAATCATACAAGTGGGTAAATGCATGTTAGAGTAGGACCTCTAAGTTCTGATCTGGTGTAACTTACTCTGCTGAGCCATCTTTCATGTCAGTAAGTGACAAGGCTAGGAGCACAGGCTTTGCAGTCAGGGACCTGGGTTTGGAGTGTGCTGATACTACTTACCTGCTGTGATACTGGGGTTAAGTTATTTAACTGGCCTATCCACTAATTGAGATTTTAAGGATATTTTCTCTGTTTTCTGAGTAGTCTGTATGATTTTCTCGAGTGCTTTTCTCTATTGCAACAAATTAAGAACACATTGGGATATAACATAAGGATATAGTATGGGATATACAGGGATTATAATAGTTCTCTACTGTATGGGTGTAATTAAATGAGATAATATTATAGAAACTCAGATGACAAACATTTTAATGTCAATAGTTATGTATTTATATAATGTGTATTTAAGGAATAACTAGGATTTCATGATTTCCTATAACAGCCCAGGATACAGCTAAAGTAGTTAAAACTTTAAAAATAGTATAAAGACAAATATTAAGTTAATAACTATACGGATGGTATGTAGATTTGGCAAAAATTATGAAGGTAGTGTTCAAACAAGTGAAGTTTGGTAGATATTGCAAAAAGAAAGGTGCTTAACCACAGTGCCTGGCACATAGCCTATGATCAAGTTTCATATAGAACTATCCTTAAACTCCCTCAGGGGCCTTTAGAAATTATGTTGTAGTACTTCTCTTGAGAATTAAGGAATTGCCTGAAAAGGGAACCCAGAAAGAATGAGAACTGATGTAAAGCACAATGTTATAGCTTCGTAAAACCACCCAGACTTTGAAAGAAGTGAACTAAGCATGAGACTGAGGGTTAGGAAGCCTGGGTTCTCACTCTGGATATACCCAGTAATGCACTGTATAATTCAAAAGACTTGGACTCAGATTCTTCAACTGAAAAAGGAAGAGATTAGCCTAGAATCCATTGCTCTCAAAGGTCCCTTTCAGCTTGAAAATTCTATGGCTTGAGAAGCTCCTGGACTTTTCCAAAGTTGGGTGCAAGATCGCCTTTGGGTTGGTGTACATAGTATTTTGTAGAGGAAAGAGTACAAGCTCTGCTCCCTACCTAGTCAATCCATAGATGCTGAAAATCTGCCTTTTTGTTTAGCAGTGGGAGTTTAAGATGAGCTCTGGTTTCCAATACAAGAGTATCTGTTATTCATCAGCTATGTGTGTTGGGCATACCACTTCATCTCTGAGCCCTGGTTTCCTCACCTGTAAAATGGGGATAATTTCATGTACTTTGCAGTAGTGTTGTGAAGATTATTGGTGATTTCTAAAAATTTGACAGGTGGTTGTTTGGCAAGAGTGATAAATGAGATGATAATGATGTGATTAAAGATCAGTTGGTTTTTAGCCCTTTCACTATTTATAGGAAGACCACAGTATGTATCTTATTCAGCCTTTGTAACAAATCTATGCATTAACTATTATTATACCCATTTGCAGGGTAAAGAAACTGAGATTTGGGGATGTTAAGGGCCTAGCTGGGACTCTTCCAGGTTTTCTGACTCCCAAGCCTACTTGTTTTTCCTAATAGACTCCATCTGATTTCTAAGCCACAAAATAAACACCACATTTGGTTTTTTTTGTTGTTTGTTTGGTTTTTTTTTTTGCGGTACGCGGGCCTCTCACTGTTGTGGCCTCTCCCGTTGCGGAGCACAGGCTCCGGACGCGCAGGCTCAGCGGCCACGGCTCACGGGCCTAGCCGCTCCGTGGCATGTGGGATCCTCCCGGACCAGGGCAAGAACCCATGTCCCCTGCATCGGCAGGCAGACTCTCAACCACTGCGTCACCAGGGAAGCCCCACATTTGTTTTATGTTAAGGTTCAGCCACTTGCCCATTCTACTCTTCTACATTTATCCAGCAGCATATTTTTAATTGGATATAGAACATAGTTTCTTTAACTTAAAACTATTAAGCTCCAAATGAAGACAGTCTTTCTAAAAGTGCATGCTTAATACCTTGTTGCCTATGAAGAAGTTGAAAGCTGCCACTTGGTGGATATATGGCCTTTAGATGAGTTCATTACCCTTTCCATATCATTACCTTTTCCCATATGTAAAATGGTATAATAATTTCCACCTACAAGGTTGTTGAGAGAGCAGGCAAACCATTTAGAACACAGAGCCTGGACAAGAGTAAGTTCCTCTCTAAGTTCTCACTGTTTTCACTAGCTCCTATGTACCTATCCTTCAGTCAACCTTTTGGATATTAGATTGAATGAATGGAGGTTAATGGGCCAATTCAAACTTAGTTGTTTAGTAGTTTTCAGAAATTTTCCCTCTCATAAACAAAGCTTTCTTTGACCAAGTCTAACCACAAAGAAGGTTAACTACAAATGTTATCTCTTTTTATTTCACAATGGAAAAAGAAATGATGGGAAGCGAAGAGCCAGTTCAAAATGGAGTTCAGGGAAGGAAATCAAACCTGAAAATAAGAGGTACAAAACAAAAACAAAAAAGAAAATGCAATCAAACAGTTCCAGAGACTTTGATATTTGGTATGATCACTTTGGTTGGGAATTCAAGTGGCCCGATTAAAATAAATGAGATTGCTCCTTATCTGACCAACTGGGTGAAATTTCTATCTCAAGGAGTTAAAGTGGGGAACTTCAGGCCATGGGTGGCAGTACCAGAGCCAACGCTGAAAAAAGAAGCCAGGGAGACCAGAGGACAAAGACTTTAAGAACACCCTAAGATTTCTAAATGTTTAAAACCTCTCTTATCTCCTTCACAGCGGCTTTTTTGTTATCCCTATAATGTCAGAAGTCCAAGCTGCAGAGAGATGGGGCGATGGTAACTGGAAATGGTAACTGGAATTGCCTGGTGTTTCCCAGCCCTGTGTTTCATTCCCCACAGGTCACCAGGACCTTGGTTTTTACTGTCTTCACTGCCGTGCTGGGTTCCTTCCAGTTTGGATATGACATTGGCGTGATCAATGCACCTCAACAGGCAAGTGAAACATGCCCAAGTTCTCTTTTTGGTAATTTCTATCAGTGACAGAAAGGTATCTGCTCCACATCCAGAGAGATAAGGTGGGTCCACGCGGGGGACACGGGATAATCCTGGTCTCTGTCAGGTTCCACATGTGTGGTTCCAAGGCTGATAACTTGGCCTTGACTCCTCACTTTAAAACCCTCACAGAAAAAGAAAGAGTAATAAATAATCCTTGATCTCTGACTCAGCTATTCGCTGAGCTCACAGAAAACTCCAGCTAGAATACCACGTGCCTAAGGATTTTTTTAAAAAAACTTAAGAGCTGATTGAAGCATACATTCAGAGCTCCCAGATGCACAGATGAAAATGCCAGGGAATAAGAGGAAACAATGGAAGGATAAGGTTGTTTCAGTGCACAAACCTGTATTGAGCACCAACTCACTGTGCGTCAGGCACTAACATATGCTCTCCCCCATTTGACTCGCCCAACAACCTTATTATGCCCATTTCTTGTCCAGATTAAAACATTTTGGAATCCTGCAGGGGAGGGGAGTAGGCAGGGAAGGGGATGGAATTGGATGAAGGAGGTCAAAGGTACAAACTTCCAGGTATAGGATAAATAAGCACTAGGGATGTTAGGTACAACATGGTAAATGTAATTAACACTGCTGTATGTTATATATGAAAGGTTTTGAGACAGTGAATCCTGAGTTCTCATCACAAGAAAAAAATGACAAACAAGCAAACAAAAAACACTTAGGAGCCCTAACACTAACAAGATTCTAGTCCTTCCCCCTACTCCTGTGTCCCATAGGTGATCCAAAGTAAAATAATACAAAACCTTTAAATAATAGTCAACAAGGCCAACAAAGTTTGGGTTTTCTCCATGTTGACTATTTGAATGGGTATTTTTTTTAAATATTGAATAATTTCTATCATTTTTCTCATTTACTTTGTGCACCTCTACTCTGGTTTCCAGTGAATAGACAGGAGAAGGATGTCATTTTTCTCAGACCCCACAGGCTGTAAGTGGGGAAACCAGGACTTCGTTTCCTCTGCTCTGAATCAGACTGTCAGGTCGTTTAGGGTGGGACTGATGTCTTATTCTTCTTCCTAGCACCAGTGCCAAGCACAATGATTGATGTAAACAATAAAGCGTTTAGTGAATGAAGAAGAGAGAGAGAAAGAGACACAGAGAGAGAGAGAAGAGAAGCTAGGGGAAGGGGTGGCATAAGGTGATGGTACAAGCATTTGTTCGGTGCCTTCTATGAATCCATCATATTTCATCTGCTTCTCTTACGACACTGGACTCCAAGGAAAATGTAAGAGACTACAGGGTGTGAACGTGTGAAATGTGTACTTGCCACAGTCCATCTGCTGAAAAGCGTTGCTCCTTGAACTAAAAGATGTGCTCTGGTTAGGTACCACATAGCATCATGAGTGTGGCAGCCTTTGCCAAGGCTGAGAGACTTGGGGAATAACTCTGGGGGCCATATTATTTTTTCTGTGGGTGATGACAACACATGCTAATTTAATAGGATTCTTGAAATTTGGAATTGGTAGAACATTTTCTCTTCTTGTGGGAGAACTTTTCAAATCCTTATTTAAAGCATCCTCTTCAGTCTTGGGAGGGAAAATTAATCTAAGGTTTCCCCTCCTCCAATCCAAGTCCTAGAGCCAAACCTAAACACAGAGATCCCCCACTGGCATCCGGATTAGTGCCCTCTCTATAACCCTTCCTTCTGTATGGAAAGAGCTGCTTAAACACTATTACGTAAGAAGAGTCATTCAGGCCCATTTGTTTTTATTAGCAGAATGACATTTGGAATTGTTTTAGGGTATTTTACAGTCACATTTTTTTTTTACGAATATGAAAACTATGCATGGCTGTTGCAGAAAGTTTTAGAAGAAAAAAATTCATGATTATTCATGTAGAGCAAACTGCTGAGAACATTTGGGATATTTCCTTTCAGCCTCTCTTCTGTGTATATTATCCATATAGAGTGGCCTTCCATGAGATAAATGTCTGGATCAGACTTCTTTTATGGTAAGAGGATATCATTCTCTCCCTCATCGCTGATTTTACCACATAGGACTTTGCCCAGGACTGGCAACCTAGGGCAGCTGCATTCCAGGTCCTTGTCAGAGGTCCTCCCAGCTCATTGTTGCTGAATAGTGACCAGATCATCCAGAGGAATGACACAGAAGGAAGAGAGCCTGAAGGATGTGCCTTTACTCGATTATACTTTTGTTTGATCTTTACCTCTACTGAAACACATTATAAAATACGGCACTGTGAAATCTAGTTTTGAACATTGTTTATTCTGTTACATACTGAACTCTGTGAGGACCCATACAAGAAACTTCCTTCAGGTCTCAATACCTTCTCAGGTACTACTGAGCTGTTTTTGATCTTCAGAATTCACCAGTATATATGACTGTTTTCCTCTCTTTTCACTGGCTGCTAGGAAGCTTATTAATAAATTTAGAGCTCACCTAAAGCAAGGATACAGCACCTAGTGTTTAAATTTGTATACCAACTTTATTTTGGGCCTCATCTTTCCCAATCTTTATTCTTATACCTACTTTTATGTTTCTATTAAAATATTTACAGAAGCCAATTAAAATCCTGCTATGCAGGGGTAACAGTGGAGTGAAAATATATCTTTTCAACCTGCAGGATATTTTCAATTTGGATAGTAGCCAACCTTTAAAACTTGAAGAATTTTACATAAAAATCCAGATTTCTGGCTTCTCGTTAAAAATTAAAGGTCATAAATAGACATTTCTCCAAAGAAGATATACAGATTGCCAACAAATACATGAAAGGATGCTCAACATCACTAATCATTAGAGAAATGCAAATCAAAACTACAGTGAGGTATCAACTCACACCGGTCAGAATGGCCATCATCAAAAAATCTACAAACAATAAATGCTGGAGAGGGTGTGGAGAAAAGGGAACCCTCTTGCACTGTTGGTGGGAATGTAAATTGATACAGACACTATGGAGAACAGTATGGAGGTTCCTTAAAAAACTAAAAATAGAACTACCATATGACCCAGCAATCCCACTACTGGGCATATACCCTGAGAAAACCATAATTCAAAAAGATACATGTACCAAAATGTTCATTGCAGCTCTATTTACAATAGCCAGGACATGGAAGCAACCTAAGTGTCCATCGACAGATAAATGGATAAAGAAGATGTGGCACATATATACAATGGAATATTACTCAGCCATAAAAAGAAAAAAATTGAGTTATTTGTAGTGAGGTGGATGGACCTAGAGACTGTCATACAGAGTGAAGTAAGTCAGAAAGAGAAAAACAAATACCATATGCTAACACATATATATGGAATCTAAAAAAAAAAAATGGTTCTGATTAACCTAGGGGCAGGACAAGAATAAAGACTCAGACGTAGAGAATGGACTTGAGGACATGGAAAGGGGGAAAGGTAAGCTGGGACGAAGGAGAGTGGCATGGACATATATACACCACCAAATGTAAAATAGATAGCTAGTGGGAAGCAGCCTCATAGCACAGGGAGATCAGCTTGGTGCTTTGTGACCACCTAGAGGGGTGGGATAGAGAGGGTGGGAGGGAGGGAGACGCAAGAGGGAGGGGATATGGGGATATATGTATATGTATAGCTGATTCACTTTGTTATACAGCAGAAACTAACACACCATTGTAAAGCAATTATACTCCAATAAAGATGTTAAAAAAAAAATTAAAGGTCATGCAACACTAGTCTCACATTGCAACTTCCTCCTTCAGATGGGACAAATAAATTCTGCCAACTCACTATTACATTCTCAAAATTACAGACAGTATTTCAGTCCTCTAGTCATCAAGATCCTTCTTGCCTCCTTCACTTGTTTGTTCCTGTCTGGTTCCTGTTGGCACTGGAATTTGTGACCTCTGTTTTATAGGATATGGTCAACTGAAACAACCATATGCGTTAGTATGTGCATAACACACATAATTGAGATAATCCTGTTTAAACACCTAACAAATATTTTAAAGGAAAAACAAACAAAAAATATACAGAATGTTTGAAATATTGGAGCTATTTTTCTTTATTTTATCTCCTTAGGTAATAATAACCCATTATAGACATGTTTTGGGTGTTCCGCTTGATGACCGAAAAGCTATCAACAGCTATGCTATCAACGGTACAGAGGAACTACCCGCAAGCCCATTCCTAGGGGTCCCAACACCAACCCCTTGGGCTGAGGAAGAGCCTGTGGCATCTGCTAGCCTCATCACCATGTTCTGGTCCCTGTCTGTGTCCAGCTTTCCAGTTGGTGGAATGATTGCCTCATTCTTTGGTGGGTTGCTTGGAGACCAGCTTGGAAGGTAGGCACATTTCATAAACAAGCAGAAACACAGAAACTTCAGTATTTTCGGTGTCATAATTTGTTTAGAAAGAAATCATCTTTCCTTTTGTGGAATAGTTTCAGAGTTGTTTTTTCAACTCACGACCCTATGAGTTAGGTTGGTATTGGACCAAATAATGGAAAAATCTGTTGCAACCATCGGCTTAATAGTGGAGGCATTTACAGCAAAAGTGAGTTTGGTGTGTATTTCTAGATAATCACTCTGATTCTCTGACTTTGTAACTTGTAAAACATATTGAGAAACCACCTCACAAGTGGTTTACTCAGGAACTCAGTGGGGAGTCAAGCGTGGAATTTTTAACCTGGGAGTCGATTGCTGGCTTCATCAAATTGCTCCATTTCTCAGACATCCAGGTTTTCATCTTCAGATTAGAATTTGACATTTGGATCAGTCAGGTCCTAAGGTCCAGTCAATATCCCCCGCTCCCAGTTGCCCAATATACTTGGCGTGGGGTTTCTAGCTACTGCTCCTTTTATCTCAAAGCCCCAACAAAGGGCTGAAGCAAGTGGTGTCTCCATTTCTCTACTTTGGTTTCTATTATGTGTTTTGGATTAAAAACATCAGCGGAACTCCTTTACACTCAAATTTCATTTAGTCATGTGATGTACTAAAGCTCTTGGATTCCCCACACCCCCACAGAGAGGAAGTAAAACAGAAAATAAAACGGTTATTTCTTTAGATTTATTTTCTGCTCTTCGCATCCATCTTTTATCACTTTTTTTCTCATGATAAAAACATGCAAATATGGAAAATGCAAAACCTTTAAAGTTCTAAATGATATAGGCAACTATCTTAGTAATACTGGATTACAATTCATTTAACTATTTTAAAAATATTTATTTATTGTATTTATTTATTTTCCTTTTTTTTGGCTGCGTTGGGTCTTAGTTGCGGCACACAGGATCTTTGTTGAGGCATGTAGGATCCTTTTTGTTACGGCACGCAGCCTGCTCAGGTTTCTCTCTAGCTGTGGCATGCGGCTTTTCTCTCTCTCGTTGAGGTGCGCGAGCTCAGTAGTTGTGGCGCGTGGGCTTAGTTGCCCTGCAGCACGTGGGATCTTAGTTTCCCGACCAGGGATCTAACCCGCGTCCCCTGTATTGGAAGGCGGATTCTTTACCACTGGACCACCAGGGAAGTCCCTCATTTAATTATTAAAATCCCTACTTTTTGTTTTCTTGGCCACGCCACATGGCATGCAAGAATCTTATTTCCCTGACCGGGGTCGAATCCGCAACCCCTGCAGTGGAAGTGCAGAGTCTTAACAACTGGACCACCAGGGAAGTCCTAAAATTCCTACTTTAAATTATAGTTTTCCCTCTCTGGTTATTAAATTCTGATAAGTTCTTCCTCTTGTACTGGAGTTTTTATATAATAAGACTGTAAGAATTTCTCTTAAGTAATGGGTAGCATGGTAATGCAAATTTTATTCTTACTCTTATTTCAGAGGGACTTCCTCTACCATAAAAGAAAATGGTCAGTTCTTCAAATTTTTATCAACTTACTGGTGTTTAGCTGATCTTTAAATCAGCATCCATAAATTATGCAGGTCATTAACTGGCTTTAATTATTTAAAAATTTTAAAAATCATTTCAATTTGCACCAAGTTGGTTTAAGCGATAGTTGGAAATTTTTCTAGATTAATTATGTCTAAAATAAATAAAATTAAGCAAAGCTAAGTTAACTTTTTAAATATGGATAGACCAACTCTTTTAGCAGCTATTGACGTTTTATACTTCTCATCACTGAGGAAAAAATTTAAGCCCTTGTCCCGCATTTAGAGAAGAGATTCTAACAATCCAGTGACCTACTCTAAAATATTTAATTAGTGTCCTGGTGGTGGAATCAGGATGCTTGTCTTCTCAAGTCTTAGGATTTAGGGGCGTCCCTGGTGGTCCAGTGGGTAAGACTCTGTGCTGCCAAAGCAGAGGGTCCAGGTTCAATCCCTGGTCGGGGAACTAGATCCCACATGCATGCCACAACTAAGAGCCCGAATGCCTCAACTACAGATCCCGCATGCCGCAACTAAAACATGCCACAACGAAGATCCTGCGTGCTGCAACTAAGATGAAGCGCAGCCAAAAACAAAAAAAAAAGGTCTTAGGATTTAGCATCAACAATGTCAAACGACCAAAACAATGTCAAATGACCATTTATCAAATTATTTATTGTGAACTAAAAGTGAGGCTTCCTCCAACTCTCAGTAGAAAAATGATCCTCCTTGAAAATAGCCCTAAAACTAATCATTTTAACTTCAAAATTAAGACAAAATAGTTCAGTCTCTTTCACAAAACTATTTTTCTAGGGAGAGTCACTGAGAACTAACATGATGGTCCTTATTGCCAGGGTCATTGCTCTACTAGTTAAAAGTAAATGGAAGTGTACTTTTCCGTTACTGCTTTAAAAAACATCTTTCCTTGTAATTGTGTTAATAGTCAATAGATGTCTATAGCCACTGTTTTATAGATTTGGGTTCTCAAAGTGAAATTTTACTTAAAATTTAAGTACCAGGGTAAGGTAGGGGAGACCATGATCTGGGCAATCCACACTACCATGAGTGAAGGAAGGTATACACAGTTTGCCTTTGAATATGTTCTTTCTTTTGTATCAAAAATGGAACTCACCAAAATAAAGCATTAACCTTTGGTTTCACACAGATCAAATCCCAGCTCTGTCACTTAATAGCGATGTGAAAATGAGCAAGTTATCTCAGTTCTCTAAGATGTTTCCCTCCATCTGCAATGTGGGGAAAAAAATACCTCCCTCGTGGCATTATTGTAAGGATTAAATTTAAATGAATATAAAAGGTTTAGTACACTGCTTGGCACAAAGTGAGCAGGCAGCAAGTGTGGATGATGATGATGAAGAAGCCTATGCCTACAGGAGTATTTAGAGCAAGATTTAAAGAAATATACTTAGACATATATTTCTTTCTCCCTGATTCAACCATTTCGTGTATTTTTAGATTATTTACTCTTGGCCATTTCTCACGTCTGAGCAGAAGTTAAAATCCTTTAAGGTGTATAGAGTGCTCCAGCATCCACTGGTGGTAAGGAAGAGGGACTTTAGAGCAATCCGGCATCAAAAATACTTTCAGGCTATCTATCTCTTTTACGACTTTTTATCTTTTCCCCGCCTAACGGAATATACTATTAGCTAGCTAGTAACAGTTTCCTAGGGTAAATTATTGAATTTGCCTGCCCTCTGTCCTTGTGTAGAGAAAAAGCACTTCACAGAAGAACACCCCTGTCTTTTTCTGCTATGCAGTTCTGAAGCTGGTCAGCTCTAAAGCACTCTATTTACCTGTCTTTGGGTAGTTGATAACTTGCATATACTAGCTTGCCGTTACTGCTCTAATGAATTACTACAAACTTAATGGCTTAAAACAACACAAATTTGTTTTCTTACCGTTTGGGAGACCCAAATTCAGTTTCACTTGGCTGAAGTCACAGTGTCAGCGGGGCTCATTCTTTCTGGAGGCTCTGAGGAAGAGTCCATTTCCTTTCCCTTTCCCAGCTTCTGGTGGCCACTTCTGTTCCTTGGCTTGTGGCCCCTTCCTCCATCTTCAGAGCACATCACTACAAGCTTTATTTCTTTCATCACATCACCTTCTCCTCTGCCTTCCTAGTATAAGGATAGTCATGATTACATCATTGGGCCCGACTGGATAATCTCTTCAATTCAAAATCCTTAATTTAATCAATCTGCAAAATCCCTTTGCCATATAAAGTAACATATTCCCAGGGTCTGAAGATTAGGGTGTGGACCCTTGTGGGGTATTATCCAGCCCATCACATGGTTTTTTGGGCAATCATTGCAGTATGAGATTATATAGTTTTATTATCCAGAAAAAAAAAATCTGTTTGGTGTTTAAGATACTTGCTTAGAAAAAGCTCACCTATTAAAGTTTGAAACACTGACATAGAGCATAACAAGATACTTACATTTCTTTGTGGGACAAAAATTTTCACACCTGTTCACTCAAATTCTTTTTATTGGCCTTAGCATCGACTGAACTTTGAAGAAGGTTTTTGTGTACCTCACTTTCCCATTTAACAGGAGGAAGAGTATCAGATACCTGCAAATGTCAATTTTCATATGATTAATTTTGAAAATGATGTTTTTGTTGCTATTGTCAGCTTTATTACATATTTTACATTGGTTGACATTAACTCATAGATTCTGGAAATATGCTGGCATACAATGACAAAATAGGGATAACTATAGTTCTCTATGATAAGGCTTAAAGTAAAAACGTGTTTTAATTTACTTCCAAATAATTCATACGAGAGAAAACTTAACTTTGAAAGTTCCTTTCATGATCTACATCAACTAAAAACTTGTACCATTAAAAGAAAAGAAAAGGGGTGTCATAGGTTACAACTCCAGAATTAAATTTAGCTTCACCAGGCAATTATTCTTTAAAACAATCGGCTTCTGGAAAGCTTAATTGCTAACTATTTGAAAAGGTGTCAGAAGTGTTATCTTAAAGCAAACCAGTCATCATCACAATTGAATCATCTCTATCAAAATGTGGAGATCAGGTACCTGCAACCCCAATTCTCCCATTATACATATATTACGTATTGTTAATGCTTTAACCCACAGACAGATCAAAGTAGCAATCATGGTTTAAGATTCCCCAACTAGCTCAGCAAAATTAAAATATTCAGTCTTAGGTAAAAATCTCAGCATGCTCTGAAAGCAAATAATTTTATCAAGTTTTGATGCTAAATTTATAATTCTTGCTTTTCAAATTTTCAGAATCAAAGCCATGTTGGTAGCAAACATTCTCTCATTAGCTGGAGCTCTCTTGATGGGGTTTTCGAAATTGGGACCATCTCACATTCTTATAATTTCAGGAAGAGGCATATCAGGACTCTACTGTGGTAAGTCATGCACACACACACGCACACGCACACTCCCACACAAACACATGCACACATCTGAAAATTATTCTGAAGGCAAATGTGGTTACATGTAGAGAATTTTTTTGAGCCTCGAGTGACATCATGAAAGGGAAAGGCAGTAGCATAAAGTTGCAGTCCTGAGTCAGGGAGGTTTGGGACCAGTAAGTGGAGTTGTAAGGGTATGTTCTTATCCACAGCGATGACAACATTTCTAGTCGTACGATCTAAGACAAATTATTTAACTTTGTTTCCTTATCCAGTAAGTGAGAAGGATAACAGTATCTACCTCCTGGAGATGCTTGTGAGAATAAGTGTTCAGCATAGAATATGACTACAGCAAGCTGCCAAATGTGCTAGCTGTTATCATTACTCCCGTTGTTCAGTAGACAGCGGAAGACTGCTATGCCCAGACCCCTAACTCTACCCTTATGGCCTACCTGGCCACTGGTGTCTCTGTCTCTCCTATCTGGAAAGACCCTGACATCCTGGCCCATCTCTCAGACCACATTCCCTACCCCTAAATGCTTCCACATGTAGCTGGTTGAAGGGTTAAAGTGGTGCTGACCATATAGGGAGAGGGAATCAGGCAGAATCAGTTGGTAGAGGAGTTCAGAAGGGAGGAAGGGTGCTCCTCCTAAGAACGTCACATCTAAACAGCTGAATCACTATTTCTTGGAGACAGCTTTTCAAACTACCTGAAGCAACTTATCAGCAGAAAGGGAGGATCGTGCATTCTCTAAAATAGTCAAATCTTTTGCTTCTCAATCCCAGTGACACCCATTGTCCCAAATCACAGCCACTAATAATATCCATTGGGGGTGGGAGAGGAAAGGTGAGGGCACAAAATGGTATATAAAATATTTTTAACACTTTTACCTGCAAAGAGGAAAAGGCTATAATTCCATGAGTCTTCAATGATCAGTTGAAACAAAAGTCTAAGATTACTTGTCTTTTTGTTATTTTCAATGCTAATAAAAATAACTGAAAGGGTAGCTTGATCAAGGTCAAGAGTCACCCCACTTGCGGAAAAAGCTTTGGATTCAGAGTGAATCGATTCTGGCACTGTCGTTGTCTGGCCTTAGTAACTGAATGTGAGACTCAGTTTCCTCTTCTGTAAAATGCAAATAATAACACAATCAAAGAAGTCCAAATCATGATTCTTCTATCTTTTCTCTCTATTTTTTAAAATATAGCAAGAAAAAAATTACAAAATATTTTTGGTAAAGTTGAAGATAAATGCTGTAAACGTAACATGGAGCAACCTATCACTAGCATAGCCAAGTAACTTGTACTCTCCAACCACCTTTTAAAATTATGTCGGATCCTATTATGAGCATTAAAATTGCTAAAAATTATAGGAAATACAATTTGACTTCAGGTTCATGTGACTTCAGACCTGTGAGCTTATCTGCATTTTCTGTTCTTGGGGTATAATGTTAGGCATTACACAAAAATAGTACAGCCTAGAATAGGACCAAACAAATGGGTTTTTTTCCCCTTCTTCTTTAAGATCAACAGACCACTCATTAGAGTTACATGTAAAAGCAGAAATTCAGATGCTGTATCAATCATGCAAATGTTCATGTGATATTAAGAACAATTTGAAGCATTAAAAAATATTGAAAAAAAATATTGAAACAATTCCTCAAAGCATCTTTCATACATTTGATAGGCAGGCCGTCCCTCTAAGAGGAAGCCTCTGACAAATCTCATTTTTAAATTCTTAAGAAAATGCCAAACATCGCATTCAGCCTTGCTCATTGATAGTCTCTGACCTTTTTATGCACTCAGCAAATGGCTAGATACTCCACCATTTCCAACATGACTGATTGCATCTGCATCTAGGAAAACTATAGAAGGCAGAATGGCCTAGAGCTTTTCAAATGTCTGTATTCCTTTAAGCACCAGAAGTCTTTATGCAAATAAAATCTTTTCTGAAGCCTATTATTTGGAGAGAATAAAGAAGCTAGGTTTTCTCTGGTTGGAGTGATTGGGGGAAGAGCCTCTGAGTTCCTCAACCCCTTCCACCTTCCCCCTTGGCCTGGCCAACTCAACTGTGACCTTGAGGCACCTCCACATTGTGGATACTCAGACAGGGCTTGTATTTCTCCACTAACACTCTATTGCACTGTGATCTTGGCTAAGTCGTTTCTCACCTTTATCAAGTAAAGAAGTTGGCCTAGATAAGTTCTAATTTCCTTTAATCCCACAAATCTAGAGTGAGAATATTATTGTGTTTTTAAGAATATTGTTAAAGCATTCTTCAGTCTCTTTTCTGAAGATAACCTAAAGCATTGTGATACAAACTCAATATTAACATGGATTTTTTTTAACTAAATAAGACAATGCTATGAATAATTGCCAAATGCATGACTAACCGTTCCTTTCTATTTGTATATCCAACTACAACTTCGTTTGGAGTCGCATCAACAAACATTCTTTGCGTAAACTGTGTGTAATTGTTGGTGACAAGGGCTCTTCCTTCCAATGAACTCAGGAAGGGAGTTCCAGCAGAATATTGACTGTACTTAAACAGAATTATTGTTATTGAGATAGTCCTGGCTACACTTTAACATTTATGTTCATGTTTCATTCAGGGTTAATTTCAGGCTTGGTTCCAATGTACATTGGTGAAATTGCTCCAACCACGCTCAGGGGCGCTATTGGCGCCCTTCATCAGCTGGCCATTGTCACAGGCATTCTTATTAGTCAGGTAAAAACTCCCATCCCGTACCTCACCCATCCTCTACTTTACCCAACTTCTCCTTCCCTGACTGTCCACTCTCACTGTAGAACGACACAGAGGAAAGAGGCAGTTCCACAGGTGGTAGTGGAGGTGGTATAGAGACATAGGCTTTTTAGCTCAAAGCTAAAGTACTACTACTCCACTCTTCACTTTTCCCCTTGGAGTTGTGGTGGGGTTGGCACTGGAGGTGACCTGGTAAGCCAAGTCTTGAACTGCTGGAGCTATTCTAGAATTAAATTACTCCATTTAGATTTCAAGGACTAAAAAATTTCAAAATTTTGCCTACCCAGGTTTCCTTTGTTCTGAGCATCTTACCTGCTCAAATTTAATATGCAAATGCTTACAACAGCAGTTCTTGTTCAGCTGGCTCTATTCTTTCTTTCTGTCCTACGTTCTCAGAGGGAGTCCTAGAACCTCAAACCTATGGCTATCCAGAGGATAAACTACTTGCAGTAGGGATCACAAAACTAGTTCTCATCAGAGTAATTGTTTTATCTATGTAACCCCATTCTATTTAAGTTCTGGGTAATCTAAGAAGAAATTTTTTTTTTTTTTTTTTTTTTCTTGTGTTACGCGGGCCGCTCACCGTTGTGGTCTCTCCCGTTGCCGAGCACAGGCTCCGGATGCGCAGGCTCAGCGGCCATTGCTCACAGGCCCAGCTGCTCCGCGGCATGTGGGATCTTCCCGGACCGGGGCACGAACCCGTGTCCCCTGCATCGGCAGGCGGACTCTCAACCACTGCGCCACCAGGGAAGCCCTAAGAAGAAAATTTTTTAACAAAGGTCCAAAGATGCATGGTTTTTGCTGTTGTTTTAGATATCAAATTTGTGCTTAAAAGTTTGGTTGATTCGCATCCTAAATATCCCATAGGAGTTAATGAAAACAAATCTAGGTGCATTCTTTGTAGAACAAAGAGTCCATAATTCAGTTCAGATGAGACACACTAGCAGTAGTTTTCATCTTGTGCATGCTTGTGCATACGTGAGTCACAGCTGTCAGGGATTACTATCAAATAGCCAATGTGCTTTTTCAACAAACTGTTTCAGAAGGCAGATCCAGAGTGATGTGCAGTTGACATGCTTCCTCCCTGACTTTTCAGATCGTTGGCCTCGACTTTATCCTGGGCAATCATGAGCTGTGGCACATCCTGCTTGGTCTGTCTGCTGTGCCAGCTGTTTTCCAATCTTTGCTGCTCTTCTTCTGTCCAGAAAGCCCCAGATACCTTTACATCAAGTTGGATGAGGAAGCCAAAGCAAAGAAAAGTAAGTCTATGGGTGGTTTTACTTTCTTCCTATTGTTTTGGAACTATCAGCTAATGAGAAAGAGTGTGCCTGAATGGATACTCATGAAATTGGTACCAGCGCTTTCCAAATGAAGTCAGTGATTATATGCAAGAAGAATATGCAAGATCGCTTAATACGACTAGTGTATGCCATTTTGCAACCGTAAACATTCACACAAACCCAAACAGAAAATCCACACACGGAGACTTCTAAGAGACCTTTCCTGCATTATCCTTCCATGATAATGAGGATCACAGTTTTGTTTGTCATAAGATGAAGCGAAATGTTCTGCTTTTCTGAGAAATAAAAAAGCAGGATTTAATTTAACAAGAAAGAATTTCCAACACCCATGCTATTAAGTAACAGAAAGGGCTATGCAGAACTGTAGCTCTTTCATTAACATAATACAAATAAATTTATTTTTGTTTTGACCTGAGTTGTGTCAACCTGATCGTTTTGGGGGACAGGCTTGAAAAGACTCAGAGGAAGTGATGATGTCACCAATGACATCACTGAGATGAGAAAAGAAAGGGAAGAAGCATCAAGTGAAAAGAGAGTCTCCATAGTTCAGCTCTTCACCAATTCCAGCTACCGACAGCCTATTCTAGTGGCATTGATGCTGCACATGGCTCAGCAATTTTCTGGAATCAACGGGGTAAGTTTAAGAACGTCCCCTAACTCTTAAGAGCAAAGTGAATTAAGATAGATGAGGAAAGGGGTTTAAGTTTAAATAACTAAAGGATACTTTAAAATGTTGACATCACATGTCTTACTACAACAAATATATTGAATGAGCATTAATTTTTTGTCTTGACTCATCTGCCTTCTAAAATCAACTTACAGTTTTTTTAAATGTCAATAATCAATGGTCTGCATGTCTATTAAGATGAAGGTTAAAAGGCAAGTCATAATGAATACAAAAGAGGGAAGAGGAGAATAAATATAACTAGAAGACTAAATTACAAGGGGCTTCCAGAGTTGAGTATCAAATTTAGGATTTCTGATAGCCTAAGCAAAAGGAGTCCATGATTCCCTCTGTCTATTTAAATGAAGTATACCAGATAGCCTTGTGCAAAGAAGTTTCCTGCCATCCAAGAAACTTTCACTCTATTTGGGGAGATAGCACACAAAATAAACAATAGAGTGAACTGACATGATGTTGGTGAGTAAGGGTAATAGAAAAGAAATGACTGAAAAACATTCTGAGTACTAAACTAGCTAGCATTTAGGTTTTGAATTGAAATTCTCATATTATGCAGACTAAAATTGTTCTACTGACAATTAGCTACTAGACGAAAAAAATTAAGCATTTGTTAAGAAACTAGATAAAGAAAATCACTTATCCCCTTTCATTGCTGTTAAAAATGTGGTTTGGGCTTTTATAGTGAGCCAATCCTAGATTCACAAAGACACTTTGGGGGTGACTGGTGAATGGGCAGAGACTTGGGGGAAGCAAAGAAAGCAAAAGTTGAAGCATGAGCTGAAGCAGAAGAAGACTTGAGCCTCACTCCACAAAGTGAATGCTGCTCTGCTGTGGTCTCCATCCTCCTTTAACAGGTCCCTGATGCTCATTTTTTATCTCTTAACTCTTTATAACTTTGGGGCTCAGAGACCAAATCTGTATCCTCTCTCTCGGCTCTGCTTGTATATCCAAGAGCACAACACTTAATCTCTCTAAACCTCCCTGCTCTAGCTTCCATCCCTGTGCCTGACTTAGAGGCACTCAGGAAGTGTCGAACCACGCGCTGTCAGGCAGCCTAAAATGGTGGGCTGGTGTGCAGTGGGTAATCCACTCCTCACTGAACACAGTCTGAACAGTCCTCCTGCGTCAGCCACGTCTGCAGGAAGAGGCACCAGCAGCAGGACATGTTATGTGGGAAAGGAACTGATGGAAGATGATAGAACAAAAAAGATGATGTAAAAGACTATTGTAAACATAAGGACATAGCCAAATAATAAAGCCTATTAGGGAGGTTGTGAATCAGATTTCTCCATCCACTGAGATTGGTGGAAAATTTTGGGTTACATGCAATGACAGACAACCAGAACGCTATACACACTGGTGAGAGTACAAAGCGACACAACTTTTTTTTTTTAATTTTTATTGAGGTATAATTGATTTACAGTGTTGTGTTAGTTTCAGGTATACAGCAATCTGTTATACAAATACATATATCCACTCTTTTTTTAGATTATTTTCCCATATAGGCCATTACAGAGTACTGAGTAGAGTTCCCTGGGCTATACAGTAGGTCTCCATTAGCTATCTGTTTTATATATAGTAGTATGTATGTGACACAACTTCTTTGGAAAACTGTTTGGCATTATCTATCAAAGCTGAGAACATGCATACACTACAACCCAGCAATTCTATTCCTAGGTGTAAATGTATACATATTTTACCAAAAGGCTTGTACTAGAATGTTCATAGCAGCACTATTCATAACCGCTCTAAATGATAACTACCTAAATACCCATCAACAGTAGAATGAGTAACTAAATTGTGGTATATTAATACAATTATACACTAAACAGCAATGATAAATTGTGGTATATTAATACAATTATAATACGATTATACACTAAACAGCCTGAAAATACAACAATATGGATAATTCTCATAAAAGTAATGTTGATGCCAGATACAAAATACACACAAAATATGTGGTTCCATTTATATCATGTACAAGACTAGGCAAAATTTATCTATAAGGATAGAAGTTGAAAGAGTTTCCTTTGAGAAAAGGGTGACGTTCAGGGGGCTTCTGGAGGGCAGGAAATGATTTATTTTTGATCTAGACTATACAGGTGTGTTTAGTTTGTGAAGATTAATTGAGCTGTACACTTAAATGATATGTGTACTTTTTTGCATGTATTTTATGCTTTAACAAAAAAATAAAGTGCAGATGTACAGTTTTCAGCTAAACATAAGGAGAACTTTTAAGTGACTGGAAGCTTTACACACTGAAGGAAGATTGTGGTTTCTCCTTCCCTGGAGGAAGAGGGTGGATAAAACCTTTTGGGAGTATTAGGGACCCTGGTTCCATTGAAACACCTGAAAATAAAAAAACTAAAAGAATTCTTGCTTTGAAGCCATGAGTGCTAGGCTTCTTGATTAAGGCTAAACTATTATTATTTTGCAGATATTTTACTACTCAACCAGCATTTTTCAGACAGCTGGAATCAGCCAACCTATTTATGCAACTATTGGAGTTGGTGCTGTCAACACAGTTTTCACTGCTCTCTCCGTAAGTAAAATACTCTATATAAATATTCTGCTTGCTCCTCAGTCCAGAAATGGGAGTAAAATAACCTTGTAATATAAAAGTGACCTATGACTTATTGTCCACGTGTAGTGGGTATGTAGATAGAACCAAGTGGGTCACAGGAAGAGTCCTATATGTGAATAACCAACCACTGTATTGAGGTTAGGCATAACTGAACAGGTGGATCACTGGTTCTCCTTATCTGCTGAAGATGTCATTTGTCACTCATTTGTGAATTAGTAACTCACTTGGGGGCACAGACACTTGGTATTTTTGTGTAAATGCCTGGGCTCTTTCTCCTTTGCTCTGTACTTAAGCCTCTTGATATTAGCAAACAGCTTGTCATTTCCATCAGCATTGGATCCTAGATCCTCTCCTTCCATGGTTGAAAATTTTTATCCTGATATCTTAGAAAAAACATTTTTAAAATAAACATGGTCCTCTCAATTAGATAGCTAAGCCTCCAGCAAAATTAAACTGATTCAGTAAATTCTTATGATGTTAGGCCATTGGGCAGAACTTCCAGGTCACAAGGCCATGGCTTCTGGTGATGTATATGACTGTGATATTATGAGAGGATGGAATAGAAGCGGTTTATAACTTGAAATGTTATTGCTATTTTTGAAATGTAACTTTTTCAACTGTCAAATGTTATTATACACTTTTGAAAATTTTTCTCAACAAGGGAAGAGGTCATATACTCTTCTTAAGATCAAATACCTTATCTAAGGAATGATTCAGTATATTGACAGTAATAATATTTAATATAACAATCTAAGAATTAAAGTAAACAAAAAACAACAGCAAAACCCCCCAAACTTCCCAACTAACGTAACTCACTTTAAAATGAGGATAATTGAGTTTATCTTTGAATGCAGATGTTAAAAAAGCTTGTGCTTTTTAATTTTGGTCACAGTGCTATATACTCAATATACTTTAGTCACTTGTTTTTCATTCTCTGCACATGGACTTTTAACTATTACCTAGAGTAGTCAATAAATTACAACCTGGCTACCTAGATCAAAAGGCAGGTTTGTCCAGACCACATTAAACAGAACTGGACCTTGGAAAGAGAAGGAAGAACAGATAATAAGGGAACACCAGTGCTTCCGTAGAAATGCCTTTAGAGGCATTTAAAGGCATTCATGGCCTGTTCAATCCAAAAGGCCACTCTAAACCAATAAAGGCCTGGTACTAGGATGGAATCCAAGGGACTATTCCCATTCTTTTGTCTCCTGAGATAATATTTTTGCAAATCCCACTTCAACATATTTTTTTCATATAGAGACTATGATTAAAACATTTTATGTGTTAACAGGATTTACTATGTAAAGCATCATGTTATCAAGATCAGGGTAACCCAAACTCTAAGAATATCTAGCGAGAAAACTACTGCAGAATTCCATTTTTGTCCTCCCCCCCACCAGCCAACCCCATGGAGTGGGAAGAGTTGTTCTGAAAATAGAGCCTTGATTATTTTGAATCTACCTTTTTTGAACTCATCCTTTTATTCTGTGAAAGTTTTTGCATGACTGACATAATTTTTTTTTTTTTTTTTTTTTTTTGCGGTATGCAGGCCTCTCACTGTTGTGGCCTCTCCCGCTGCGGAGCACAGGCTCCGGACGCGCAGGCTCAGCAGCCATGGCTCACGGGCGCAGCCGCTCCGCGGCATGTGGGATCTTCCCAGACCGGGGCACGAACCCGTGTCCCCTGCATCGGCAGGCGGACTCTCAACCACTGTGCCACCAGGGAAGCCCCCTGACATAATTTTAAAAAGTCAACTCTAATCAGCTGTCTAATTAACCCTCCAGGACTACAGATAACAGTTAACATTTTTAATTATATTTATTTTTGAAAAGTTGTTTTAAAGTTCAAAGAAGTACATAAAGGACAGCCTCTCAGTCATCCAGTTTCTCTCGCCAAAATCAACCAAGGTTACCGAATTCTGTGTATCCTTTCAAATAAAGATGTGCAATTAGGAATATGTACTGATAACATATTAATGTTTCAACAGTTTGGAAGGAACATAATCAATCTTTTTTTTCTGGATGAGTACTTGGAGAAAGAGATAGACTTTCCCAACTCGATGCTGAATTATGTTCCACATTTCCAGATTTTCTTTTAAACTAATGAGCTGGTAGAAGGGAGCCTGTAATCTTGAGTAAGAAAACAAAACAGGAAGAATATAAAGGGAACTGGAAGGCAGCATAGGTCCAGAGGAGAAAGAGTGGCTCCAAGTAAGCATCCAGGATCTGAGTGATGTACAGTGTCTGCAGCGAAAATGAGAATTAAGATCAGGTAGACATCTCTGGCCCCTGACCAAATCTCACCCTGTATCACACCCTTTCCTGAGTGCTCACCTAGCCCCAAGGAGGGAGTCCAACTCAATTTTCAAGGCATGTAGTTTTAGAGTTTATAATCCTATTAGCAATAATTGTTCAGAAATAGAAGAAACAGACACAGTAAAAGCCCTTATTCCTGAAGAAATCCTCCAGTTTTCTTGGCAGCTTGACATGGTGTCATCAAATCAGATTTAAAAGTCATAATTAAAGAGTCAAAATATAGAGAGAAATTTTATGAACTTGAGAAAGGTTTGTTTTTCCCACTTTCTTCTCAACAATTAAACGTGGGCTCCTTGCTTCCCTGGTGTTCCAGTGGTAAAGAAGCCACCTTCCAATGCAGGGGACGCGGGTTTGATCCCTGGTCAGGGAACTAAGATCCCACATGCCACGGGGCAACTAAGCCCATGAGCCACAACTACTGAAGCCTGCACGCCCTAGAGCCCACGCTCCACGACTACTGAGCTCGAGCGCCTCAACGAGACAGCCCACGTACCGCAAACTACAGAGCCCATACGCTCTGGAACCCGCACGCCTCAACTAGGGAGAGAAAACCTGCACACCACAACTAAGAGAGAAGCCCACGCACCACAACAAAAGATCCTGCATAGTGCAACTAAGACCCCACAGAGCCAAAAAAATAAAGAAAATTAAAAAAAAAAATTTTTTTTAATGTGGCTCTTTGCTTACCACCCTGAAGTGATTTGAAACTCTAATATGAAATGTCTCTGAGATGAAAGGGGCTTTCATTGTAGGTGAAAAGAAATGTTTCTCAGATATTTTCAGAGCCAAAACTCACTATACTAAGGGTATTGGATTGCTGTTGATTTACTAATAGATTTATGAGCCTAACCAATTTACTCACTGAAGTGAGAAATTATGACAGGTAGTTTTTGTGTGTGTGACTCTCCAACCTTGGCAGTATTCCAAGGATCAAGCAAGAGTCTATTCAACATACTCTGATCCTGGCTAATTGTGAATCTTAACCATTAGTGCAAAGATCCACAGACCCACAGGAATCGACACCAAATCTCCTGAATTAGGATAAGAAAGCACTTTAACCTTTTGCTTTAAAGTCATACCTTTTCAAGTGGATAGTTCATTACCAGCACCAGGTACATTTAGGCTCACCAGAAAAATGCGGACCTGACTATTTTGGTAAGGCCATCAAACTCTGTATGCTGCCCCTGAGTGGACACAGTTTGACTTTATTTGCAGTAAGAAAGTTGGATGAGAATAGTTAACACATCAACAGTTGTACTGTTTCAGGGGTCTGCAGTGCTCAAACCCTTGCAATTATAACTTAGGATAATTATCAGAAGGGAAATTAACATCATTTTTATGTAGGACCTTCGTATTTTAAGTCTACAGGAAATATATTGGGAGAGGTCCAAGAGGTCCAGTCTCTAAATATTGCACCGAAAATGATAAACATCAGGTGGTGGTAATGCTATGGTTCTTTCTCTAGAATGGCCTGTTCAAATCAATGTGACGAAAGGAAGCCAGTAGTTGTAAATCACCTCTGTTCACTGAGAACAGCTTTGCCACCCCAGGCAAGAGTCACCCCCCTCCTGAGTTCCACATCTGTAAAACGGAATAACACAACGGCCTCTTTCCAGCTGTATAAATTAAAATGATCTCTTTGGCAGTAAAAACGATTTAAGTATAAAGCCAATATGTTTTAAAATTTTCCTAGGTATTCCTTGTGGAGAAGGCAGGGCGACGCTCTCTGTTTTTAATCGGAATGAGTGGGATGTTTGTTTGTGCCATCTTCATGTCGGTGGGACTTGTGCTACTGGTGAGTTTGGTGCCTGCACTGAGATTTTTGATTACCATATGATAGCACTTCTGAGCTACAGGTTAAACGTTTCAGATTGACTTACGAAATAAAGCAAGAGGAACAGCATATAATACAAAGGAGAAGTGTAAAGAAAAAGAGAACTAGTTTAGGGGTTTAAATATAGAACATCAGCAGGTAAACTGTGCTTGTTACCCAGAGAGGCAGTGTATATAATAGTAGAGCACAAGCTCTGGGATTAGCCCAACCAGGTTCTAATCCTGGCTCTGCCACTTGGCTGCCTGTGTGACCTTGGACAAGTACCTAGACCTTTCCAGCCCAGCACCAGCATCCACTACTTTACAGGAGGTCATGCATCCTGTCTAGCAACCTTGGTATGAGTAGAAGCAAAGGTCACTGGATCCTTGCTTTTCCTCTTTCACAGGAAAAGAGTGACTAAGAGTCATGGAAAATCCTAATCCAGAGGATTTCCTATAGCTCAAAAGATTTAAGGATGACTAAAACTAGAATAAACTTGTCTACGACTAGAATAACTTATACTTAATTGAATATAAACACATCAAGAAGGGAGCTATGTCATCTCTGAACTCAATGAGAATCTACCTAGCTAAAGGAAGAAGCAGTCAATGTCAGTTCCACTTTTGCTTTGTTTTTTGTTTTCTCTTCAGAATAAATTGGCTTGGATGAGTTACGTGAGCATGATAGCCATCTTCCTCTTTGTCAGTTTTTTTGAAATTGGACCAGGCCCCATCCCCTGGTTCATGGTGGCTGAGTTTTTTAGTCAAGGACCACGCCCTGCTGCTTTAGCAATGGCTGCGTTCAGCAACTGGACCTGCAATTTCATTATAGCTCTGTGTTTCCAGTACATTGCGGTAAGCAGCCTAATACTGTACAAATTTACTGAACAGAAGATAAGGTTGAAGAGCTGCTAATTGGAACTCTGTTTATTCTCTGTGCAGGACTTCTGTGGACCTTATGTGTTTTTCCTCTTTGCTGGTGTAGTCCTGGCCTTTACTCTGTTTACATTTTTCAAAGTTCCAGAAACCAAAGGAAAGTCCTTTGAGGAAATCGCAGCAGAGTTCCGAAAGAAGAGTGCTTCAACCAAAGCACCAAAAGCTGCTGTAGAAATGGAATTCCTTGGAGCTACAGAGACTGTGTAAAGATAACCTGCTTTTTGACAGGAACAGAAACAGGAAGGAAGCAGTGTTTTTTAAATGACAAGTTTTTTGAGAATTCTATATCTACATCTTGAAGTACTGTTTTATTTTTTAAAGAGATGTTATAGGCTTTGATCAGAAATGTCATCAAATATTACAAAGAAAGTATTTTTTTAACTTCGAGAATCTATTTTGGGTGGTAAGACTCTATAATTAAGTAAACCAAAAAGTCTAGCTCATTTTGGTACACTAAATGGCAAGTACATTCTAATGTTCTTAGTGCTGTCCTTTACAACAAGAGTATCCTGAAGTTGAAGCAGTTTCAGAGTTATTGCTTCATTAAGCACGTGACTAGAAACCTGAAGACACAACCAATATTTACATATTTAAATACGATCAAGTTGGAATTTTCCTACCTGCAGACCTCATATCAATACTAAGGGAGATATGACTAGTGGCAGTAAGGTCCATGTTAAAATTGATAACTTTTCCAATTTTTCCCCTCAGCTTTTTTCTTGTGCATTAGAATTTGTGTTGTGCTTTAAAAGTTTTTTTGTTATTTTTCATGTGGAATAGTTTATTAAGCACATTAAAATATGGTTACAAAGAAAAACTTTTATTTTGGGTAGGCTTACCAAAATCTTTCGGTATTTGGGGAAAAAAATTTTTTTTTGTTACTTTGATGACCAAATGGTTTTTGTAAAATTAAACACTAAAAGGTTTTACCTGGTCATTTAGCATGGGTTATCAGTTAATATTAACAGCTATTATAAACCCATGTTAATTCCTTGCTGGTTCAATCCTTTGAGCTATAGTTTGTTTTGCGTTTTAACTGAGCACAGCTTGGTTTTCTGAGTTGTGTTATAAAATATACTCAAACAGTGATAAATCAAACACTTTGTATATCTCGTCAAACCCCAAATAAGATACAACAGTCTAACGTAGGAAATTGGAAGTAAAAGATTGCTCTGTTTGTTAAAAAATATTTTCTGAATTCTTATGTTTTAAAATAGAGTTGAAAAGGTAAGGTTGGAAGATCCTGAGGGCAGCCTCCTGAAAATTCATGAATGTTTAATTTCAGACTTGATCAATATCCTTTTTAAATTTTCTTGAAAAGACTTGAGTTGCCTGACACAAAACAATCATCCCATTTGACGTTTCCTTTTTTGCCTTAGCAGGATATGGATGCTATCTAAGCTGTTCTCTTGCAATTGCTACCATTGTACATTGTGCCATAGGTACACTACCTATGTGCCAGGCACTGTTACAAGTGCTTTTATGTGGACAAATTGGAAATACACAGATAATTGAACAGACTTTCACTTACAGTCAATTTTGCAACTATGGAAATACAGTTCTGATGGATACCAAAGGCTTAGCAGGGAGCTAAAGTATCCCCAGGCTGTTTTCCTCACAAAGCAGAGCACTGAATTAATCTTTTTTTACATTTGCTTTAATGTGCATGAAAGAAAGGCACTTTTTAAAAAGTTCTCTTTTAGAGTGGGAAAAACAATACTGAACACTTGGTGGGGGGGGTTGTTTGTTTTTTCTTTTTTCTTTTTCCTTTATTTTTCTTCCCTTTTTTTGACCAAAGGTGTTTACCTTTATGCAATTTGACATTCCAAACAACATGAAATTATTTCTTTTCACTTTGATTTTTGTTTCCTCTGGGCCAGTTTGGGATAAACTACTTTCACTTAGGACTTCAGAACACAGTCACAGTGAGCTTAAATAGTTCAGTAGACCTTTTTGCTAAACTGTGAACTCTGTTAAAAAAAAAAAAAAAGTAGGGACTCTGAATAGGGCAGGAGCAGGAAAATGGCTCATCTTGCGGCTCCTGTCTTCTTCAGGATGCTGAAGCATCAGGATGCTGATGACCTTTGAGAAGCCCAAAGTTGCACTGGTAAAGAAATTTAACATATTTATAGGCGATGAATGTGATTTATTCACATTCTTTAATCACTATTCCTGACCTCACTTAGAATAAAGTAGTAAAGGTTTAAATAAAGAGCCGAAAAGACCCCTTTTAAGTTTTAATTAATTATTCTGATTGACCACAAATACCAAAAATTCGGACCCTGCAGTTTTCTGCCTCAGAGAAATGTAAATGGCATACATTGTTTCCCTTTCATAATTTTTTCCTTTCAGAGATACAAGTGAGTTGAAAAGAGACATTAAGATGAAATAAGAGGCTAAGACAAAGGAACTAGCTTAACATGATAAAAAAAACTCCTAGGTTTTCAACAATATTCATCATAATATATAATAATATCGGCACTAATTAATTAGATTTAATCCCAGGGAAATTAGACGTGTGTTTGAATGTTTAATTTTCATAGTACGCTACCATTCTTGTGGAATTATTTTCATACTCTAACATCCTTACAAATGTGATTTTCTCTTAGCTTGCTTGGAGCATGGTTACACTTCTTGATCTGGCTACCCATCTGCTAGATCTAGTGTTGCCCACTGTCATGACACCAATGCACGGATCTTCTCTCACTTCCTTCTCCCCACTCTCCTCTACACGATCAGCACAGTAGTGCATGTTGAGACACAGTAAGAGAAAGCCCCTCCTCAAGGAGCTCAGTCTATTGAGGAGCTCAGGAAGACCAGGGTATAAACATCCCCATCTGCATCTTTTTCCTTCCATGAACCTCAAACTGAAGGCCTCTTTTGTAAAGAGGGCTCAATCATATACCTACCTCAGAGAGCTGTTGTGAAGATTAAATGTAAAGTGCTAAGCAGAGTGTCTGGTACAAAGGGGCGCTCAATAAATGTTACCTAGAATTAGTATTCATGAAGATACTGTTAGGATACAGGACTACCATATATAAGATAGTTCCAGTTTTTTGTTTTGATAAAAAAAGTTATATAAATTCAAGATAATATTTTCTTACTTCAAGCAACAGTCTCATGATGACAAGGGAATGGTAAGAATTAGGGTAGATATTAGGCTATCTAATTCTTAAACCCATACCTGATATTTCTAAGTAGGTTATAAGAGCTTCTATTGTATTTTTTAAACTTGCTTTTGCCTAAGTTATTTTTTAAGAGGTTATATGTAATATTATTTCTTTGGATAATACTAAGTACAAAATAAAATGCTATATATCATATTTAAATGTAATTTAATAGGATTAAATCACAGGGCAAGACCAAACCTTGATAATCCTCAAAAATTGCAAAAGTGTATAAACCAGTATACATGCATAAGCTACTTCTTCTTGCTAGCTTATTGTTGCAAACGTAGCAAATAAAGCAGTATTAGGCAATATCTTGTGCTTACAGTGTCCTAAGCAAAGGTGCTGAGTAAAGTATATACAATTTTTCATTACAATTCTGTATTAGTGACCTGAGGAGAAAAGGTTTATTGTCAACCACTCTGAGCCATCTGCTGGTGTTTTTACTGCTTTCTAATTGAGTGCGCATTAGAAAGAATCATCATGAAAATAAACTTGTTTTATTAGTATGTATACGCTATTAATATCTATACACATACATAAACTATATGAATGTATACATATTTATAGTATGTATACCTATAGTTTTATGTCAATAAGTATATTTCCAAATACTGTGTTGTTTTATTTTATGTAGAAAATAACCACATTTAAGAAAATTGATATTGGTTTATTGTATATACTCATTTCCTCTCACAGTATCTTTCCTATTCTCATTTTAAAGATAATATGTGAGTTACATTTTAAACCAAAATTTTATTTCCATCAAGCAGTTGTTTTGATTATCAGTAGTAGAAAAAACTAACCTGTAGGCTAGGTAAGAACAACTGAAGAGGAATGAATGACTCCCTTTGATGAAAATAGAAATAATTTAATTCAGTAAATATTGAATTGCGCTCCTATTATGAACAAGACACTTTATTAAAGTTTTGTAAAAGAGACAAAGCTTAGAAAACATGGTCCCTATCCTCATTCACCTGCATACTCATAAAGGGGATAAAATTTGAAAACAAATAGTTATAGTACAAAGGAGAGAAAAGGAAAAACTGTAAGTTAGTGGTTTTAAAATTTTTAAGTTAATATCTAAAATTTTTCATCATATGTTTAAATAGCTGCAAAGGATATAATTTTTCAAAATATAGTATATATTTACATTTTAAAATTGCTATGCTCTATTTATTCAATAGCATTTAATTACCATAGTAATTTGTTACTCTCCATAACCATTTAAAATATATATATAAATATATTTTTATATTTAACAGTTGGAAAATTTACTGCATTATTTTCTATTCTCATATTTCTGTTCCATTTCCCCCAAAGAATTTTATCCTAAAGTAATAAATATACGTGCTTTAAAATATTTTTGATGATTCTAAGTTTCTGCAACAAAAAATATCTATAATTTGAATTTTAATTTTTAAAAATGTCCTGTGTCTACAAAGGTCAAAATGTTTAACCTCTTTTTCTTTTCTGGGTTGAGTTAGCATTTATGATAATTAGTAGCACATAACTGCTGAAAATTATCCATATTACAAATTTTGATAAAATTATTCATTTTTTAATTTTTTTATTGAAGTATAGTTGATTTACAATATTGTGCCAATCTCTGCTGTACAGCAAAGTGACTCAGTTATATACATTTATCATTTTTTAAACATTTATTTTAGAAATTCATCTCAGTGAGAAGTATGGGTTTTCTTCAAGTAATTTAAATATTAATGGATAGGAGCTTCCCTGGTGGCGCAGTGGTTGAGAGTTCGCCTGCCAATGCAGGGGACACGGGTTCGTGCCCTGGTCTGGGGAGATCCCACATGCCGCGAAGTGGCTGGGCCCGTGAGCCATGGCTCTGAGCCTGCGCATCCGGAGCCTGTGCTGCACAACGGGAGAGGTCACAACAGTGAGAGGCCCGCGTACCGCAAAAAAAAAAAAAAATTAATGGTTAGATATTTCTTATTACTAATGTGAAACAGTGTTCAACATAAATCCTATCATTACTTTTTGTTATTATAGATGTATTGAAAATCTTGTTTTCATAAATCAGTAGATAGGAATGGAAGGACCAATGTCATTTAATTCCATAACTATTTCTAAGTTATAGCCAAAAAGCACATAAAAATTAATCATCAAAGTAATTTTTAATAAACTATCAGCTAATAACTCAATTGGGCCCTTTAATTTTGTTCAAATCAAAGAACCTGTATTGTGAAGGGACTTGTTATCCAGTTGTTAAAATTATTCTCTCCCTAGTTCCTGGGCAGCATACCAAAAAGGCTTTACCAAGACTTTTTAAAAGACTATTAGTTATATCGTTGAATCTTTCACTTAGAGGCAACTTGCTTAACATGATATACTCAGAAGGGTTTGGGAGAATTGAAATATTATTAATTTCATGCATTTTCACATATATGTGATAAAATTCTTCTATTTTATCACATGCTCCAGTCACATCAAACCTCAGATGAGAGCTCATATACCGCTTGTTAGCTTGTTCAATTCATGGAAAATGTCTGTCATAACCTAATGGGCAAACTCAGTCCTTATTGTCAAACTAATTTTCTAAATCAGACTTACTTTCTATCTGACTTAATTTTTCACTTCCAATGAGCACCTTAATACTCATTCCTGTGACAGCCATCTCATGTCTGAATTCCAGTGCTTCCACAGGTAAACATAAATGAGTCATGAGTACTGGTCACCAGTCTGTCCCCTGCATTTCTTACAGATGGTTTATATTTTTTACTTTTACTGGTCTTTCCTTCAGGAGCAAATGCACTTTGAAAATAATTGGGTACGGTCTGCTAAACCAAAGTGGTCAGTACCCTGTTCTACAATGTCTGCGTTCAAAATATCCTAACTCAGGCCCAAATATGCTATTTCTTATGCCATCTTAATTAAGGTAGGCGTCACAGTTAAAATCATTTCCAAGTATCCCTTTTTTTGGCACTGCTAGAGGTTTGAGTCTGCGGCAACGCGCCACGGTGAAAGTCAGGATTCAAGGAGGACTATACCTGTCTTTTGTAAAGTAGGAGAAGGATGACTATGAAAGAGGTGTTGGGGAAAGAACTGGCCTAATGCCCAACTGCAGGCACATTACTGAGCATGAAAACATATGTTTTTGTCCATGAATAAGAGATAATGTGCCCAACTCTGACAAGTTATTATAAGTTATTAACAAACTAAATGCTAGGAGGAGGGAGGGGGAGAGGAGAGGAAGAAATGAAACTTAAGAGGATCAGCCCAGAAGATCCAGCATCTAAACAATGGGAGCTCAAAAGAGAAAAAAAAAATAAAATCAAAATAGAAGGAAGGAAATTATCAAAGACAAATCATACTGGAATTTTGCTGAGCTGAAGAACAAGGCTTGAGATTGAAAGTTTATTGTGTGCGAAACACAAATAAACAAACAAAGCACAAAATTTCTTCATGAAATTTCAGAGCACCAGCAGTTAAAAAGTACATATAAAAGCATCCAGAAAGTAAAGACAGGTCACATACAAAGAAACAGGCTTCATAAAAGCATGTCATATCTGAATAGCAACTGTGAAAGCTAAAAGGCTATGGAACAATACCTACAAAATTCTGAAGGAAAATTATTTCCAGCCTAGAATTCTGTTCCCAGGCATATTATCAGTTGAGTGTAAAAGTAGAATTAAGCATATTTCCAGATATGCAAGACTCAAAAACTTACCTGTTCTGTACCTTCTCTCATGAAACAAGTGGAATGTGTACTGTGCCAAAAGAGAGAGAGAGAGAGAGAGAGAGAGAGAGAGAGACATGGAATTCAGCAAAAGAAGAGAATTAAAAATAAGTCTCAAGGCAGGAGTCAT